TACACACAGAAATGTCATATAAAGGACTGCACACAATCTCCTGTTGGAGCTATTGTTCATAATACAGTGAGCGCTCTCACCTATCAATTATCTCCAGTGTTAGCTCCAAGCATGAAGATTCAACTGTCTAACTAATTACAGTATCATTCCCTAACTTTATTCAGTTTCAGCTACTGATTTCAGTTCCACTTCTTGCGATAAATTGTTAGGTAATGGTGCCAGGGGCCATTAAACAGCTGTTAGATGTCACCCCAGAGATCATAGCACCTCAGTGAAAGGTGTAGTAGTTTTCACATTTAAAGATGGTGAGGCATTTGGGGACAATTGGAGATGAGAAATGCGACATATAATCAAGATGCTTATATTATGTGCTGCAAAAATATATTATGCAACCCGTGAAAACATCTGCTGTATTTTAAGACTGAATGCACTTTATAGACATAAGCTGAAGACATAGTTTAGTTGAAGACAGTGAGAAAAATTATCCCACTTCTGAAGAAGAGGTAATCTTGGAATTTTCTCCCCCATATGATTGAAAATGGGTACCTAGGGAAAATATTTATTTAGGGTTTTGAATGGTTTCTGGCTAACAGGCAAGATAATTCACTAATATTAAAACATAACCAAACTAAATGAATGTCAAGAATTGAAATCTTCAAATCCAAAAAAATAAGAGTGAATCTGGTGTTTTGGGAAGCCAGATAGCACCAGAGGTTACAGGTTTCTCACCCCAAATGTAAGATCCAGTCCCATTAAGACCTGAGCATGTTTAGTTCCTTTTATATGTTGAAAGGATTTAAAACTATTCTTCCCATTCAAAAATGGAGTTGCTCAGAAGTGCTTTTCAAAAATACCAGGATAACTAGAAATCACCAAAATATATTCAGAAGCTAAAAATGGAAGAAAACAACAAAAAATGAGCAAAAACTAAATACAGCATAGTCCCCTTTTGCATAGATTCAATATCTATGGATTCATTTACACACACACACACACACGAATGTACCCTCCTGTAAGTGTCTACAGACCTCTCTGTGTCCTCAGGTACAATTCTATGATATGCTTCCGACCCAAATATAGTCAAAATATAAGGTTTGCCATTATCACAATTTTAGGTATCCATGACAAGATCTTGGAATGTATTCCCTGTAGACACAATGGTTGTACTATAAATACAATTAATAGACCTAAACAAAGTGACTAGATTTCGCAAAGCTCATCTAAACCCAACTCAATCCCAATTATTAGCTGCGACTCATAGATCCTTTTAAACTACTGCTTTCAGTTTCTTAGCCACTTGATGAGGCCTGGGCTGCAAGCTTGTACTTTCCCTCCAAACAATCCCTTTGTCTCATCTGCTGAATATAGCTCAGAGGAGTTACTTTTTAGACTCTCTGAATCTCTTAGCCAGTTTGCCAACTGTAATTACAGGTAATGGTTTTGTTTGTGAGTATCCTCACCGTGAGCAGTGCTCCCTGAGGTTCTGACTTTCTCTTGAGTTCATGGCTCTCAAGGAATCACCAGGGAAAATTCAGGCATGTGAACAGGAGGGAGGGAGCAGCTAGGAAGAGAGATTGCCCAGTTACATGGCTGGCTGCCAGTGTCTTAACTAGCGAATAGACCAGGCGCATTAATTACATCTGCACTGGCCCCTGGCCACTATGTGACGGGAGTCGCGTTTTTGTACTCATTAAATGGCATGTTTTAAAACAGAATAAATTAAGTGTTAACACAAATATAAAGGGGACCATTTCCTATTCAATTACTAGACTTCTATTTGTATAAGTAGGAGTGAACTTAGAATTTCATTGATTCTAAAAACAGCAGCAACAACTCTTGGGCCAAGACCTTGTAAGCCAAATTTTAGCTGCCGGCAGATTTTTAAAAAAAAAAAACGGTTGAGTTATAACTCACCAAAAAACAGGGGCTTAAAATGGAAGGGCTGACAAAACTTTAAACTACAGCGTTGCAAATGGCACCACAATAATTTATAATCTACAGGCAGCTCTTGGGTTTATTATCACAATGACAAATGCACTGTCATTGTTAATAGGATATTTCCCAGCAAGGACTTCTTGTTATGCAAGCCAGGTTCAGTATGTCATGCAGCATGATAGCAATAAAGCCTACAAGAATTGGTAATGAACTTCAATTACTAATAGATTATGGTTAATGGGAAATATGTGCAGTAAAGATATGGGTTTTTATATGCGCCTTCTGCTACTCTACAAGGCAAAGATTTATGCTACAATTTATGTTAACATTCGCCACACTGAGTTGGGGGGGGGGGGAGAGAGAAAGTAGAAGCCTATGCTGGTGGAAAGTGGTTTCATCCATAACAAATATTTAAGGTAATTTCAGCACATCATGCAAATGAAGATGTGAAATTAGATATTAATACTTTTCATTTGAACATTTCTACTTTTATTAAAAATAAAGGTTCTGTCCCACAGCTTAACGATTTTAAAAGATACTATATATATTGTCTCATCCCAACCTGCCAACATAAAATGAATGCTGCTGTTACAAAAAAGAAAAAAAAAAGAAAGGGAAAGACAAAATGATGATAGCATTTGAAATGTCAGTTAATTTGTTCAATTTGCCGGTTGTAATTATACAGCAGAAGAATAGATTTGATACATCAAAGTTTGGGATGATGAACTTAATGATTTCCCTTGAAAGAGAGGTAGCATTGATATAAAGGAACTCTTAGTCTTGTTAAATGAATGTGGAATTATTAAGTACAGCACCACCCCAGAACATTTTGCTGCCTGAAACAAAGGATAGGATGTGCCATAGCCAAATTATCTAGTAGCCAAATTGTTATTTTGGCCTTGGTGATAGAAGAATGCCTACTACAAAGTGAAAACCGTGAAGTAACAAGTACTCAAAGCAATGTAGAATAGATTCTATGGGTTGCAAATTTCTTATCAAGATAAAAGTATGGTTGAAAGGGTATACATTGCAGCCCAAAGGCTACTGATGCTTACAGCAATGGTTCTCAACCTGGGGTCCCCAGATGTTTTTGGCCTTCAACTCCCAGAAATCCTAACAGCTGGTAAACTGGCTGGGATTTCTGGGAGTTGTAGGCCAAAAACATCTGAGAACCCCAGGTTGAGAACCACTGCTGTAAGCACTTGTCTTGTTCTGCCTACATGTAGAGCTGGTCCACTTTGGTCACCAAATAAGTTCTTCATTGTGCATGAGTACTTCCACACTTAGGATCTAGTGAATGAATCAGAGCTGCAATTACAGTTACAGATATGAAGAGAATGCCACTGAGGCAATTCTACACAGACACTGAAATCAAGTTAGGAAGTTGATTAAGCAGAACCACTTTCATAGTAGAGCACCTACCCAATTGCCCCAGGAACCAATTTGAGGTGGGGACAGTGGCCACAGCACCTGATGATTACAGACTGGAACTGAATCCAGGATCTGCAGTATCCACACCTAGACAACAGCTGGTAAATGCAGGGTTTCTTCTTTAACTAATCTTCTGAGATGCACTGATGTACATCATGTTTGTTGCAGCACATTATCTGGCTATTTCTGGATTTTCTGGTGATTTTTAAATGTGCTATTTCTGTTGAAGTTAGAGGAAAAAAAACCACAGATGTTTGTTCAGGTTTCAGAAATTCACTGTTTCGACTCCAATATCCTATTAGCTGTGACAGTGCCTTTAATGGCAATAATGTAAAGTTTTAAAATTCATAATGTGAGAGAAAGTAAAAGTGGCAATTGTCTTCATCCAGACAAATACTTTTGAGTGCTTGGCTTGTAAAGTCTAGTTTTTGAATCAGTCATGTTTGTGGTGCTATTGAATCTAGCCATTGTGGATGCCTGAAAATTTCATCTGATCCATTTCTTTTAACATGGCCAAAATTTGCAATTTTCTCCTTGTTTTATGGAAGGAATTTTATCTTGAAAATAATTGATGAAGGGGAAAGCAAAGATCACAGATTTGCCCATCTCTATTAACAGATAAAACCCAACAGTGCTACTCAGTGGTAGTCTTGTAACCTGTTTCTACTCTAGAGGAGAGGCACTTCAGGCAAGCGGGCTGTTTTAAGGAGCCTTCGTAAAGCTGTTTCTACTCTAGAGGAGAGGTGCTGCAGGAAGGCGCATACACTTTAAGGAGGCTTCTTAAAACTGCCTATTCTAGAGGAGAGGTGCTGCCGCAGGTGCACATGCTTTCTCTCCTGGGCCTGCACTATGTCACACACTCTTTCCAAGGCATTTTACGGAGGCTTCCCACTTCCAGGTAAGGAAGAGAAATGACCTAGAGGAGCTATCCCTCCTGGGCTTCCTTTAAAAAATCCTCTTTTTTCTTGGCACACTTTGATCTCCTTTTCTGCTTTGGGTTTAATGCTTTCTTGCAGCTGTTTCTACTTTCTACTCTAGAGGGGAGATAACTAGGGTAGTAGTTTTTAGAGAATGAACATTTTCTTTTTGTTTGCTGGGATTAATAAAAAAGATTAAACTGTGATGCCGAATAGGGGAGGAGGAGCCGAGATCAGCTGCCATGTGGTCTCATTACAAAAGGAAATTGGTAATGGCTGGGCCCTTGTCATTTCATGCACTTGAAGAATCCGAAGAAGCCAGATTGGTCGAAGGAAATGGTTAAAAACAGATCCATGCACAAGTCTACTCAGTAGTTCAACTGTGGGTTGAACTCAACCATACATTCAATGCACAGTGATTCTATTAAAATTCTGTTGTAAATCTTTTTACTTTTAGATAACTGGTGTCGCTAAATTGATAACCTCAGAAATAATTCAGCAAAAATAAATGTGTTAACTGCTTATGTTAATGTACTTGAAAAAGATTTTAAGGGATGAATGATCAAACACCACAACTCCTTTCTGAACCTTTGAAGAGGCCTTACCAAACCCCACAAAATTCATAACAATCTGCTATCTTTTAAAAAAATTCAGTACAAATAAATGTCTCTTGAAATGTCTATTCTTGTGTAATACAACAGAATGAATTGCAAGGTCTTCTGAATAACAGGCAGCTTTTATTTTATCCCATTGTGGATTGTGTTTGTCAATAATACTATGATCCAAAATTCAACACATTCAATGCAAGAATATAGTCCAGAGCTTTTAAGTCACAAAAATACATACATTAATCTGGTTCTTCCGACATTTGGAAAGCTGACAGAAAGCACTAATGCCATTTTGCCTGTGCAAAAACTGTGAATGTCATTGCCAAGGGATCATCTTAAATCACATCCTTTTGCTATACACTGATCTGAACAACACATGTTTCATTTTGAGGAATGGAGTAGATGAGCCGTAGCTTTAACTACCCTATATTAGTCAATCAAGTGACTTTAGAGAAGCCATCATCCTGTCTTTTTCATTTTCAAAAAACATTTGGAAAGATTTTAGGTCATGGGCAAAATAAAACATGCAAATCTTGATTATGTAGACAACGAAGAAAGGAGACTGTGAAACAGGAGGTATTCACTTTGTCGCACACCAAGGCTGGAAGCATACTTTTGAACCCACAAACACTCCAAAGTTCTTTAGCAAATAAACAGTTTATTGAATAAATGCAAGCAATATCTAAAAAGGTGAAAAAGGCAAGTAAAGCCTTAAGTAAGAAAGCCTAAAAACAATCCAAACTGGCAGGTAGGCAAATATAATCCATAAAAGTAAACAGAGACGATTCTTAAATCCACAGTAAAATCCACGAAGGCATGGTCCTTAAAACCCACAGAGGAAAATGTCCAAGGTCTCTTGAAAAGCCAAGGAACAAGGTGGCACAGATCCAAAATCCACAGAAAAATTACACAGGAAAACTTTCACCAACAGCAACTTGAACATGAGTCTTGAGGAGAGATTTCCATGAATTTTGACATGACATGCATACAAGACTTGACCTGTAACCAACGTTGCGCTCACTAAAGGCAATTCTGTAAAAGCCCTATATTTATTCAAAAAGACCTACACAGAAAGCATTCCAATTCCCTTGAGAACTCTCCTGCAAATTCCTCTTTTCCCTTATCCTGACAGACCTTCGGACTCCCCCTTGCAGGTGACGATCTTGACAGATTTGACCCCTTCTATCAAAGGTTGATTCCTCCAGGTTGCTCATTAACACATTCCTTTTGCTTTCCTTATCTAGAAACCCAAGCTGGTTCCCATCAGACTGTCTGGAAACCATTCTATCTTGAGAACTAACAATCCCAGAGTCTTCCAACTCCCTTTGCTCTGCAGTTTGTTCTGTGCCCTCATTCACAATCCCCTGAGAATCTACATTAAAATGCAACATGGAAAACTCTGAAGGGTCCTGCTCTGAAGGAAATGGAACATAACCATAATCCTTGTCTTGGGGCACTGCAACAACCCCAGTCGGCTGAGCTCCTACACACTTTTCCCTGTCTTGACACTTCCCACTTGAGCACAGGGTTATAATAATATAATAATAACTTTCTTTTTATACCCTGTCTCCGTCTCCCTGGGGGGACTCAGGGCGGTTTACATGAGGATGAGCCCAAACAAACATATACACTAAATTAAAATACACTAAACTACAAAAACAACAGCATAAAACAGAATAAAACAACAACATTATAACAGAATATAAGAGCAACCATCAAACCAACAACCAATGAATAATAATCAATTTCTGGGCATGGGTGGGCAGACTGGTGCAAATCAATTGTGAGGATAGGGCTGATGGATAAAGTGCATAAGTCAAATGGCAGCATTAGGGATAGAGGACAATGTAAGCTGGAGCATTATAACTTTGGGTACAGAACAGTAGTAAAGTGCGAGGATGAGATTTTGGTTAAGTTAGCAGAAGCTGGAGATTGTAAACAGTAGTTTATAATGTAGTGTAGTTTCATATTGTTATAATTCTAATATTCTTAATCCTGACCCAATACAAATGTTGTCCATGCTGAACAATATCTGACTAATGAGGATTTACTAGAACTCCAGAATAGATAATTTATTTATTTTTATTTATTTTTTAGCTTTATAGGGTAGGGGACTCAGTGGGCAGAAAAAAATCACTTCTCCCCTCCCGATTTTGCTGATAGATGACAATTCACCATTAAGATCATACATGGAAATTTAGGCCATTGTCAAGAGCTTAGGTCAGCGCTTCTCAATCTGGGGGTCCGGACCCCTGGGGAGGTCGCAAGGGGGTGTCAAAGGGGTTGCCTAAGACCATAATAAAACACAGTATTTTCTGTTGGTATTGGGGGTTCTGTGTGGGAAGTTTGGCTCAATTCTATCATTGGTGGGGTTCAGAATGCTCTTTGATTGTAGGTGAACTATAAATCCCACCAACTACAACTCCCAAATGTCAAGCTCTATTTTCCCCAAACTCCACCAGTGTTCTCATTTGGCCATATTGAGCATTATTGCAAAGTTTGGTCCAGATCCATCATTGTTTGAGTCCACCATGTTCCCTAGATGTAGGTGAACTACAACTCCCAAACTCAAGGTCAATGCTCACCAAACCCTCCCAGTATTTTCTGTTGGTCATGGGAGTCTGTGTGCCAAGTTTGGTTCAATTCCATCATTGGTGGAGTTCAGAACATTCTTGATTGTAGGAGAACTACAAATCCCAGCAACTACAACTCCCAAATATCAAGTTCTATTTTCCCCAAACTCACATTTGGGTGTATTGAGTATTTGTGCCTAGTTTGGTCCAGATCCATCATTGTTTGAGTCCACCGTGTTCCCTAGATGTAGGTGAACTACAACTCCCAAACTCAAGGTCAATGCTCACCAAATCCTCCCATTATTTTCTGTTGGTCATGGGAGTTCTGTGTGCCAAGTTTGGTTCAATTCCATCATTGGTGAAGTTTAGAACACTCTTTCATTGTAGGAGAACTTCAAATCTCAGAAATTACAACTCCCAAATATCAAGGTCTATCTTCCCCAAACTATACCAGTGGTTCCAATTTGGATGTATTGAGTATTTGTGCCAAGTTTGGTCCAGATCCATCATTGTTTGAGTCCACAGTGCTCTCTGGATGTAGGTGAACTACAACTTCTAAACTCAAGGTCAATGCCCACCAAACCCTTCCAGTATTTTCTGTTGGTCATGGGAGTTCTGTGTGCCAAGTTTGGTTCAATTCCATCATTGGTGGAGTTTGGAATGCTCTTTTGATTGTAAGTTAACTATAAATGACAGCAACTACAATTCCCAAATGACAAATCATACCCCACCCCCCAACCCCACCAGTATTCACATTTGAGCGTATTGGGTATTTGTGCCAAATTTGGTTCAGTGAATGAGAATACATCCTGCATATTAGATATTTACATTACAATTCATAACAGTAGCAAAATTACAATTATGAAGTAGCAAAGAAAATAATTTTATGGTTGGGGGTCACCACAATATGAGGAACTGTATTAAGGGGTCACAGCATTAGGAAGGTTGAGAATCACTGGCTTAGATAGACAGTTACTAGTTAAAAGAAATGTGCTACATGCTTCACCATGAAACTCCTACAGAAGGAATTTATTACAACAACTATAACAAAAAGTAACTAATTCCACTGCTCTGTTACTACAGGACCCTTCTATTATTCAGGTTACAGCAGTCTCACTTATCCAACCTTTGCTCATCCAATGTTCTGTATTATCCAACACAGTCTGCCTCCTACCAGGATCCATGGCTGTTTCAATACATTGTGATGTTTTGGTGCTAAATTTGTAAATACAGTAATTAGTACATAACGTTATCATATATTGAACTGCTTTTTCTGTCACTTTGTTGTAAAACATGATATTTTGGTGCTTAATTTGTAAAATCATAATGTAATCTGATGTTTCATAGGCTTTTCCTTAATCCCTCCTTATTATCCAACATTTTTGATTATCCAACATTCTCCCGTTTATGTTGGATAAGAAATACTCTACTGTATGTTATTTTCTTCTTCTTCTTCTAATTATTTGATAACTTGTTTATTTTCTTTACTGTTGTTTTTTAAAGAAAGTGGGTTAATGTGACAAGTACCATTCCAAATGCCGATCATAAATGCCTTTTTAAAATACCTGAAACAAAATACGTACAAAACATAATGCATTAAAACAAAAACAAACATTTTGCATGCTATTTCCATTCACTGTTACTTTTAAAATGTGACACTGTGGCCCCCTTCATTAAAAATCTCATTATAGGGTAACTACATCACTCTGTTACTTCCAAGTTTTCATATTATCCAATGTTTTGTCCTTATGGTATGTGCTTCTTCCTTCTCATTCATAAGCATAAAATGTGGGAACTACAGTGGGAAATTGTATAAGAAGTAATCAAAGGAATGGGTTAATCGTCCCCTCCACCATACCAGGATCAACTTTCTGAATTGATGTTTATTATAGTATAGAATTATACCTTGCTCTTATCCTCCCATGAGTGTCCCTGTCTGTGAATTTCCAAGATAGAAAATGTCACCTCCGTAGGAAATGTCACCTATCACTGAAGGGCAGGGCATGCAAATTGGCACATAATTACAGCGTTCTGTTCAGGAGGAGGGGAAAAGCTCCCTTTTCATGCTTAACCATATTAAAATACTTTCCCCAATAAATAAGGAAACACTTTAAAGTTCTTCAATTGTACATATGGTCCTTCATGCCACCCAGGTCTACTCCAATCCTGAAAGAAGAATTCCAAAAATGTAACCCCCCCCCCCCACACACACACACACGCCAGTGAATTTAAAAATCCCACCTTTTTTGCTACTTGGGTATGAGTAGTACTTATAAAGCATAAGGACTATTAAAACAGCTATGAAGGATTCTTCTTCTCAAGGTCATTGCAGCACCTTCTCCATCAATCAGAAGCATGCAGACCTGTGATTTTTCAAGTTGTGATTAATGATCCCCACATACCCTATCTACTATCCAAGAGACAGTAAACAAGCATAAAGACAGTGTGAAACTCAGCAAGTTGTGGATTTTTTGTTAGCAAACTATTAACACACAATACTATGAATACACGGTAATGTTTTTAACAGGTATAAAAAGCCAGAAATGGTGTAACCTGTGCATATGTATATGTCTCCTTCAGATATTCAGTGAGTTATCTAAACATTCACTTTGTGAAGGTTTCATCCTGGAGAAATCCAGACAAACCTACTGTATTTCAGATTCAATTACGATTGCACACAGGTTGTTATTAAATAAATACTTGCCACCTTTCTTTTCACTATATTCAAGCTTAAGATCATCCACAATTTCATTTTTGAGATTAAGAGGGGCAGTTTTACTAAAGTTGCAAGTTTCAGTCAAAAAATCAAGCAGCAATTCTCCATTTTTGTTTCCTTCAGTAAAGCAATCTGTTATGTCCATATGAGATGGAAGCTCATAGGACTGGTATCTCAGTCCAGCTTCATGAAGTATTTCTTCGATGTCAGCAGAAGAAACATATAAGCAAAGATCATTCAGAGGTAAACGAGAACCATATTTCTTCCAAAGCTTGGCCCAGCCACTGGTTCCTGCAGACAAATCACAATATAAATGTTTTAAAAATGGTTTTCTCCTCTCTACCTTCCATATCACCACTGCCATTTATGTACATGGTGTTTTGTAAATCTTTCTCCAAGGGCTCTAGAGTATAACATCAAGCACAGAAGTTAGATGAGCATCTCTTGGAGAAGCTTTAGTTATTGATTTCTGCATGGCAAAATGTTGGCCTAGGTCAGTGGTTCTCAATCTGGGGTCCCCAGATGTTTTTGGCCTTCAACTCCCAGAAATCCTAACAGCTGGTAAACTGGCTGGGATTTCTGGGAGTTGTAGGCCAAAAACATCTGGGGACCCCAGGTTAAGAACCACTGGCCTAGATGGTCCTTGTCTCTTTCAAATCTGAATAGACTACTGCAATGCACTCTACATGGGGTTGCCCTTGAAGACGGTTCGGAAACTTCAACTGGTCCAGCGAGCGGCAGCCAGGCTGCTCACCGGGGTGGCATACAGAGAGCACACCACCCCTCTGCTGTGTCAGCTCCACTGGCTGCCGGTTCAGTTCCGACCCCAATTCAAGGTTCTGGTTTTGACCTACAAAAACCTGTACGGTTCCGGTCCAGCGTATCTGTCTGAACGTATATCCCTCTACATCCCACCACGGAATTTAAGATCATCTGAGGGGGCCCTGCTCTCGACCCCACCGCTTTCCCAAGTGAGGCTGGTGGGGACGAGGAGCAGGGCCTTCTCAGTGGTGGCCCCTCTCCTGTGGAACTCACTCCCAGTGGATATCAGGGCATCGACATCACTCCTGTCCTTCAGGAGGAAGGTAAAGGCGTGGTTGTGGGACCAGGCCTTTGGGCAATCTGCTAACTAAGTAAGGACAACCAGACAAATAGGACCGGCAGGACTGATAAATATGGAAGGAAACTCTGAACTATGAGATAGTGAACATTGACCAGCAATAAGGAGTAATTGGTTTGTATCGGTTTGTCTGAAATTTTTATTGGTTTTATTGGTTTTAGCAGGTATAGATGTAATGTATTGTTGTTGATTGCTAATTTGTGCTATTCTGTTTTATTTCTGTTGTATGTTACGGGCATCGAATTGTGCCTTGGATGTGTAAGCTGCCCTGAGTCCCCTTCAGGGTGAGAAGGGCGGGGTAAAAGTAAACCAAATAAATAAATAAATAAATCTGTGATACTTATAAGGGAACAGTACAGGAAGAGGAAGGCAATGGAGATTGAATCAACAGGGAAAAATACTTCTAACTCTTCAACTTAATGCCAGGCTTTTCCAACATAGTGTCTTCTAGGTATTTTGGACTGATTTTTTTTATTTGTAGTCTATGGTCTATATAAATGAATTACAGCAAGACAACAGAAATAAGAAAAAAATAAGGCTTCAGTAATAAAATGATTTTTGACAATGTTTTACACCACAGGTGAGAAATCATTTGCCTTCCAGATATTACTAGTCTACAATTTCCAACATTTCTTATCATTGACTATACTGACTGGGGCTCAAGGAGCAGGAATCCAACAACATTTGAAGGACACTGGATTTCCACCATTGTTTTAAACTTTCCAATTTACCAGAAGAATCTCCAGATCTTAAACTATTTCCGCCAGTTTTTCACAGAATCAGTGGGAGGTTGGGTTGCCTCTCTCAGAGCAGTATCTGGGAGCTCTATTCATGTTGAGAGGGGGAATTTCAGGGAGAGTGAAGATGAAAAGACAGTCAGGGATTAGAGCTTGGGGTGGCCTGTACTCCCTGACTATTTTTTGACATCTGACACATACACACCCTACAAATTCCTCCAGCTACCCCTCATGCCAGAGACGAAATGACCAATTAAAACCAGAGCTTGGGCTGCAGCTTCCGTATCTCCTAGCTGTCATGCCTGCTGACTCGGCTGGCCAAAGAATTCTATTGTTTTTAATCCATGAAGGATTTTTTAAGAGTGCTGATCTAAAAAGAGAAGACTGTTGCTCCAAACTTATACTGTACCACAAAAAACAAAAAACAAAAAACAAAAATGAAAAACCAGAACCACTTTTGAACTGCCAAAGCAGGGCTGGCTGGATTCCCTTTATTTCATATCTAACCTTTTTTCATCCTACTGTGATATTTGCAAGAGCAGGCAATGATATTTTCACAGCACAGAAGAAGAGAAGAGATCCTCCACCCGCTCTATCACAGAAAGGAAAGTATGTTTCCTTGGAGTGTGAGTGTAGAGAAAGCTTTTGCAAAAAACCCTCTTTGCCTTCTCCTCAATTTAGTCAAGAGCCTTTGATTATTCCAGAAACTATTGATTTTAGTTTAACTCTCTTCGGTTTTTTATTCCTCCTTTGAATCTGCAATCAAATCAAAAGTTGATGTCAGGAGATAGTATCTCAGGAGAAGTGATTATGTGAACAGGTCTTCAGATTTATCTCTTCCCTGGGATCTTATCAAGATGTGGAGAAGGGCTGTCTTATGAATGCCAGTCATTCATGGGTCAGATGTAAATGAGGGGTGTTTGTGAGAGATGGTGGTAGACATTGCACCCTTAAGGTGAAATTCTGTCCCTGCAAGTCTATGTTAGAGCCCATTGTTATGTTAGGAATCAACTCAATCTATCACAGTGGGGTTCACTTCAGAGTACAAATACATACTAGGATTGTACTGCATGACTTCGAACTCCTTGCTTTTGAGAAACTGTGTTTCCTGCCAATATTTGAGGCAGTAGGCATAGCTTGATCTAGTTATAGGATCAAAGATTATTCCTTACCAGTCTTAGCAACTGTTTTAATTAATAAATTCAATCCTTGTCTCTTTATGGACTCTTGAAAGTATCTCTGAATAGATTTTATTATGATTGGGGAATTATTCACAACTCAGGCCTGATATTGTGAAAGAATATCCTCTGCATGTTTCCTAAAAAGTAAGTCTCCCTTGTACAAATATGCTCAGGATTAAAGCAACCAGGTAAAGTGTAAATTTAGCAAGTTTGTTTTGTCAAAATGCTCCTCGGGTGGTAATTCTTAATTTTCCTCACCTACAGATCTTACACTTAGCATATTTCATTTGGTTATTGGACATTAGAATTTAAAAATTTATTCAGTCAAGTTTAATTGTTGAGGAATTCCTGTATCTCTAGCAATTTTCACTGGAGGATGGAAAAGGGTAATCTATAGGGAATATTCATTCTTCTTCCAATATCTTTTTTTTTTACATTCAGTCATGACTAATTAGAATTCCATTGATTGCTATAAATTTTAGTCAAGTAGTAACTTACTGAAATACATTCAGAAGTGCCACTGCCTAGCTATATGACTGAGCCACAAGAAATGCCAAGAAACTGACAAATAAGTATACTGATTTAAAGCAAGAGAGAAGAAAGTAATCCAAAGCATCAGAGAGCTTTGGTGTTTCTTCTAAGACATTCTCAGATAAGGGATATCTATTCTATACCTGTGTGAAATTTCTGGATTATGGGATGTTTCAGAATATATGCAACATGTGGCATTCTTAGGTTGGTCACACTGCATCCCACAGTGACATAGGAGCTATCGTTGTAAAAATCTATGAAAGGCTAGCATAAGGTACACAGATAAGATCCTGCAGAGGCAAAGGAAATGTTAACAGAAGCAGCAGGAAGTAAAACCAGGCTAATCCATTTATTTGGTACACTTGGTGGCATGATCCAGCATTTCTGATGTGAATCATTTACAAAAAGCCAAATCCACCAGCTCCAATGGATAACGCAGCAATACATTCAAGACTAATGAGGACTTGCTGAGAGATATGACTGCAAATCCCCATTGCTAATAAAGCTATTTGCCTGCCTTTTGGGGGAAGCTGTATATTTTAAAATAGCTTTCAAATTGATGCCACACAACAAATTTGTGTTTTTCCCCTCTCTACCTAGTGGAAAATAAATGCAAAGCACTAATTGCAGGAAATGTGCTGGTGTCAGTGTTCTGTGACTCAATGCCATTTCTGAACGGTACAATTATACACTACCTGACTGGCACATTATTATAATCACTCCCTGCAGATGCAACATATGGCAACTACTTTTGTTTCCCAAGACTTTGTTGTAAACTGAGGGCAGGGAAGAGGTTATCTGAACAACACCACTGAGTAACTCTTCACCAGACCTTTAGTCTCATGGACAAGCTGAATGTGGGAGGATCTGACACCTTTCTACATTGTCCATTCTTCATATCTGGATTCCTCCTTTCAACTCAACTCCCATGTTCTCATTAAGATTGCTTTTTATTTTTGTACAGGAAATTGCTTTGAATGCATTCCCCTCGGACATGCTCTGCTGATGAAAACAGGAGCTTCAGAAGAACAACAGGATGCTGATTGCAGATATTATTTTCATTTATTGCTTATAAGCGAGTGTTATATCAGAAATCACTTCTGTTTCTTTTCTATTTCATTTGGTTCAGTGCTTTTATTCTCTCAGCTGTCTCCTACCCTTTACATTCTTTCTGCTTTGATGGTATTCCAGTTCGCTCCTGTCTTAGTGCTGAGGTCTATCACCGCTTTTCTATATGATTTCTAGTGTGCATCACAGAATCTTTCTTTTGCCTCCTCCATCCCCTTTTCTAAACTTACCCAAGGGAGCAGTGGTGGACAGTGGCTGGGAAGATTCCTAGTATCACAAGGCAATGCTGCATGTCAGCATTTGATCCTTACTTCTGTAGTATTGTTGCACCTACCTTTCGCAATTTTAGTGTCTATATAGAAAATGGCAGCAAGAATACATAGGAATTGTTGGGAGCATAATGGAGTCTGATTTGGAATAATAGGCAAATTGTAGTTTCCATTTTAATCAAATTTTTTTAATCAATGGTTTTGACTAAATCACCTGCAGTATATTTTCTCATCACTGATATTGTTTGTTTGTTTTAAGGCACACTTGGAGAATACAAATGGAAAGTTGAAATTTGTTTTGAGACTTCTGCCTGGATACCTGTATTTAGTTGCTTTCAAAAGGACAAAAGAAGCCTATTTCTATCTCATGGAGTATGCTGAGAGT